TTAATCTATGAAAATACCTCATAATTTATTAGTTGATTGTGGCTGGATATTACCTGTATTTTCTATTCATCTAAATCTGTAAAAAGTAACTAGTAACTAAAAGTTATCAAAAGTACAATATTTCCCTCTGATATGCGGTGGAGTAGAAGTATAAAGCAGCATAAAATGGAAATACTAAAGTGAAGTACCTCAATTTTGTATTGCACAGTTAGATAAATTTCCCCACTGTTATTTACTTACATGCACACATACATTACACTCATGTGTGCATTAGCATTTTAGCACACAGTGCAGTATACATTACACTCATGTGTGCATTAGTATTTTAGCACACAGAGCAGTATACATTACACTCATGTGTGCATTAGCATTTTAACACACAGAGCAGTATACATTACACTCATGTGTGCATTAGTATTTTAGCACACAGTGCAGTATACATTACACTCATGTGTGCATTAGCATTTTAACACACAGTGCAGTATACATTACACTCATGTGTGCATTAGTATTTTAGCACACAGTGCAGTATACATTACACTCATGTGTGCATTAGCATTTTAGCACACAGTGCAGTATACATTACACTCATGTGTGCATTAGCATTTTAGCACACAGAGCAGTATACATTACACTCATGTGTGCATTAGCATTTTAGCACACAGAGCAGTATACATTACACTCATGTGTGCATTAGCATTTTAACACACAGTGCAGTATACATTACATACATGTGTGCATTAGCATTTTAGCACACAGTGTAGTATACATTACATACATGTGTGCATTAGCATTTTAGCACACAGTGCAGTATACATTACATACATGTGTGCATTAGCATTTTAGCACACAGTGCAGTATACATTACATACATGTGTGCATTAGCATTTTAGCACACAGTGCAGTATACATTACACTCATGTGTGCATTAGCATTTTAACACACAGTGCAGTATACATTACATACATGTGTGCATTAGCATTTTAGCACACAGTGCAGTATACATTACATACATGTGTGCATTAGCATTTTAGCACACAGAGCAGTATACATTACATACATGTGTGCATTAGCATTTTAGCACACAGAGCAGTATACATTACACTCATGTGTGCATTAGTATTTTAGCACACAGTGCAGTATACATTACACACATGTGTGCATTAGCATTTTAACACACAGAGCAGTATACATTACACTCATGTGTGCATTAGCATTTTAGCACACAGAGCAGTATACATTACACTCATTTGTGCATTAGCATCTTAGCACACAGTGCAGTATACATTACACTCATGTGTGCATTAGCATTTTAGCACACAGTGCAGTATACATTACATACATGTGTGCATTAGCATTTTAGCATACAGAGCAGTATACATTATATACATATGTGCATTAGTATTTTAGCACACAGTGCAGTATACATTACACTCATGTGTGCATTAGCATTTTAGCACAGTGCAGTATACATTACACTCATGTGTGCATTAGCATTTTAGCACAGTACAGTATACATTACACACATGTGTGCATTAGCATTTTAGCACACAGTACAGTATACATTACATACATGTGTGCATTAGCATTTAAGCACACAGTGCAGTATACATTACACACATGTGTGCATTAGCATTTTAGCACACAGTGCAGTATACATTACATACATGTGTGCATTAGCATTTTAGCACACAGTGCAGTATACATTACACTCATGTGTGCATTAGTATTTTAGCACACAGTGCAGTATACATTACACTCGTGTGCATTAGCATTTTAGCACACAGTGCAGTATACATTACACTCATGTGTGCATTAGCATTTTAGCACACAGTGCAGTATACATTACACACATGTGTGCATTAGTATTTTAGCACACAGTGCAGTATACATTACATACATGTGTGCATTAGCATTTTAGCATACAGTGCAGTATACATTACACTCATGTGTGCATTAGTATTTTAGCACACAGTGCAGTATACATTACACTCGTGTGCATTAGCATTTTAGCACACAGTGCAGTATACATTACACTCGTGTGCATTAGCATTTTAGCACACAGAGCAGTATACATTACACTCGTGTGCATTAGCATTTTAGCACACAGTGCAGTATACATTACACTCGTGTGCATTAGCATTTTAGCACACAGAGCAGTATACATTACACTCGTGTGCATTAGCATTTTAGCACACAGTGCAGTATACATTACACACATGTGTGCATTAGCATTTTAGCACACAGTGCAGTATACATTACACTCATGTGTGCATTAGTATTTTAGCACGCAGTGCAGTATACATTACACTCATGTGTGCATTAGTATTTTAGCACGCAGTGCAGTATACATTACATACATGTGTGCATTAGCATTTTAGCACACAGTGCAGTATACATTACACTCATGTGTGCATTAGTATTTTAGCACACAGTGCAGTATACATTACACTCATGTGTGCATTAGTATTTTAGCACACAGTGCAGTATACATTACATACATGTGTGCATTAGCATTTTAGCACGCAGTGGAGTATACATTACACTCATGTGTGCATTAGCATTTTAGCACGCAGTGCAGTATACATTACACTCATGTGTGCATTAGTATTTTAGCACGCAGTGCAGTATACATTACACTCGTGTGCATTAGCATTTTAGCACACAGTGCAGTATACATTACATACATGTGTGCATTAGTATTTTAGCACACAGTGCAGTATACATTACATACATGTGTGCATTAGCATTTTAGCACACAGTGCAGTATACATTACATACATGTGTGCATTAGTATTTTAGCACACAGTGCAGTATACATTACATACATGTGTGCATTAGCATTTTAGCACACAGAGCAGTATACATTACACACATGTGTGCATTAGCATTTTAGCACGCAGTGCAGTATACATTACACTCATGTGTGCATTAGCATTTTAGCACACAGTGCAGTATACATTACACTCATGTGTGCATTAGTATTTTAGCACACAGTGCAGTATACATTACACTCATGTGTGCATTAGCATTTTAACACACAGTGCAGTATACATTATACTCATGTGTGCATTAGCATTGTAGCACACAGTGCAGTATACATTACACTCATGTGTGCATTAGCATTTTAGCAAACAGTGCAGTATACATTACACTCATGTGTGCATTAGCATTGTAGCACACAGTGCAGTATACATTACACTCATGTGTGCATTAGCATTGTAGCACACAGTGCAGTATACATTACACTCATGTGTGCATTAGCATTTTAGCACACAGTGCAGTATACATTATATACATGTGTGCATTAGTATTTTAGCACACAGTGCAGTATACATTACATACATGTGTGCATTAGTATTTTAGCACACAGTGCAGTATACATTACACTCATGTGTGCATTAGCATTTTAGCACACAGTGCAGTATACATTACATACATGTGTGCATTAGTATTTTAGCACACAGTGCAGTATACATTACATACATGTGTGCATTAGTATTTTAGCACACAGTGCAGTATACATTACATACATGTGTGCATTAGTATTTTAGCACACAGTGCAGTATACATTACACTCATGTGTGCATTAGCATTTTAACACACAGTGCATAGCAGGTGTGCACTAATATGCCTCAAGGGTCGTCTCCAAAGATATGGTGAGCCCCAAGAGCTGAGTTTCACAGTCCTGCACTGATATAGCCTCTCAGCTGGGGGTGGCCTCACACACCCACCTCCCTTTACCGTAAATAGGAACCTTGTTTTTCAGGCGGTCTGGATCTAATCTCTGCTATTTTCAAAAGAGGCAGCAGAACAATATGAGGAAGCTCTCTGGAAACTGGGATAACCTCAGTGAGCAAGTTTCCCTGCACCATGCTGACAGAAATAGGACAGAATTCACTTTTTTAAAATACTGTACTGATCCCCCAGTGGAGAGATTTGTCTTTTTTAAAGGTTAGAGTTTTTGCTCTTAAAAAACTAATCCTTCCACAACTATCATTATTTCTTTTTCTAGTACTTCTAAGTAATTGTAGAGATTTACAGTAGGCTGGGAATGCAAAGCTTTTTCTGGTTATTCAAATGTTCCCAAATGTTACTTGAAAGTATTTATTTTACACCCTCCCACATTAAAAACTGTATTTATCTTATTCAGCCATTTCCCGAAAAATACTGTGTTTTTTGTATTGCCTCTGGTGCTGTCTTATCTGACCTCAGATACCTGTCCTTTCTAACTTCTGGTTGCTTTTTCTGCTCAAAACACTGGAAAGCCGCTTCATGAAAATGTGTGCATGAGTTTGAATGTTTAAAATTTGATTGAAGTCAGACATTTGCACTTTAACTGTTTTCATCAAACGATTTACCTCCAGTATCAGCCACAAACGGGCAAATGTGAAACTGAGGCTAGAGCAGTATCTCTCAGCTAAACGCCCACCATGCGCAGGATGTTTTGACACTGTTATGTTTGTATCCTTGTCTCTTCGTCTTGTTTAGGGCACTCAGTAGAACTAAACTGGGTTAAAATAGGCTCAGAATAAACAGTTTTCACAGACCTGCAGTGTTTTTAATTGGTTGAATGTAGTTTAGTTTCCATAAACTGGTTTTCTAGTATACATAAGAACTACTAATGGAAACTGTACAGAACTACATGACTAATAACTAAAAATCTAACTTTCAACTCTCTTGTGTGGTGATTTTTTCCTCAAACATTCATACCATATTGCTGCTGACTGAGACTTTGACTCAGACAAATACAGTTGTCCTGACATTGTGATATGCCACACGGATTAAAGCGGCTATAATATATCTTTTTTTACAATAACAATGCATTAAATGTGAAAAAAAATGTGACGGACCAGCAGCTCTCCTCGGCTTTACGGGGCTTTAATGTACTTGGAAATAAATCTGAATCTGGTTCATGTTGCTCTATAACAGCTGGACTTGTAAATAAAGCAACTGTTTGCTAAAAAGTTTGCCACATCAACGTAAATATATATAAATATTTTACCATTTTCAGACATGCACCTCTGTTATGGCTGTTTAACATGACGGCCTCATGTGTGCACAAGCACCCAAATCACTTAAGTCACGACGGCCATCTTACAGGATTGGACGACAAGAGGAAAAATTGTTTGACCACAGTCAGAGTCAGACCTGCTGCCTCCCTCCTAAAAAGACTTTCGACTTTATGAAGTGGCAGAGCTCTCTGTCCAAAAAATTACACATTTAGACATCAACATTTAGAAGCAGAAGAAGAGAAGGGTTGAGTGTGCTCACGATGGTCATGAATGAAGGCATTGATTAGTTGTAATGCATCGCCACAGTTTCGACACTCACCGTGGAAGTAGCTCTTCACTTTCAGGTACCCGACGCTGAGGCGGAGCACCGACAGCTTGTCCAGCCGAGCCCTGACGTCCTCCGTGAAGGGCAGCAGGCTGGTGAGCTTGTCCAGCTCGCCGTTGAGCCGGTCGCGGTGGCGTTTGGATGGGTTGGACTTGACGCCATCAGGAGGAGGTGGTTTGGGGCTGCGGATCCCGAAAAAAGACAACATTAAAACCCAGTAACAAGAAAGGGTCCATGCCTTCATGACTAAGGAGAGTATTTTAGGGAATATAGGACATTAGGAGGTGATTTTAATGGACAATAGAAAACTTTTTCCAAATCTCAACCCACTTTCTGAATACTTCCTTTTCCCTTGCGAGTCGCAGCTTGAGTTTGGGATTCAGAAAGGTCATGATGAGTATTACAAACAAGCTTCAGGCTAAATGTGTTCAGTACACTGACGTGTGTGTGCATCAGTGCAACAGCAGCTGGGATAAATTGAGATGAAACACTGATAACACACAGATGTGACACTGAAGATTGCAACATACACACACACACACAACAGGAGAGGCGCAAATGGAAAATATAATGTTGTCTTCTTTATGCACACACTGGTGCTGACTAACGATTATTTCAATTAGTGATCATTCATTACTGCGATGGACTCCCTAACCGTCAGCTGGGATTGGCTCCAGCCCCCCGCGACCCTGTACGCAGGATAAGTAGTTGACGATGGATGGATGGATGGATCATTCGTTAAGTCTATAAAATGTCATCTTTCACATATGAGAAGGAAATGGTGAATATTTGCTTGAAAAATTAGTTGCCGATTAATTTTATGTTTAAGTTTCTGAGCTCTGCATCTCAAAAATGGTGTATATCATTAATGAATAAAGGTATTACCCTGTGTTTCTGATCACTAAGTACGCTTTCATCCATCTATCTGAATGCACTTTTCAATATGCGCAAAAAAACTGAGTAGAGGTATTAGAAATAAAAATAAAAAACTGTTTTAATTTTTGCCACATTTGGCATTAGACGGTAAATAAAACTGCCAGGTGATCAGGGTTTTATGTTCAAGTACTCGACCCAGCTTTAATGCAGTTCTAAGTCTGAGTATCCTATGGTACAAAAGTATTGATGTATACAAAGTGAGTTTATGTTGAGGCAGACACCTTGATACTCTTTCAAACTAAGTATGTCATTATAATAATTATATTCTCTTAATCTTAAGAGTCTTAGCTTGTTTTTTTTTCATGTGATCACATTAATCAATTCAGTCCACACAGACCGAGTTGTTTCCCTCGCCGCTGCTGAATGCTGGGGATTAAAATGTTTACCGAGTGGAAAATAACGGACCACCTCGACTCTCCAGAGGCACAGCAGCGAGCTACCTGCTCTATCTGCCGTTGCGATGGGAACCGGGTCAGCAGGCTGATGTCACCTGTTCCAGGGCTTGTTTATCACCCGTCTGGTTTTTTATCTCTGTTCTCGTCAACAAGCCGTAAAACACATCAAGAAATGATCCAGTCCACGACGGATCTGAGGATTTATGAACTGCTGAAGTGCTTTGTGCACTCAGTTTACAAATATACTGAGCGAGAGGAAATGAAGAGTTTCCCTTTAACGGGATTCGAAAGAGGTCACATTTATTTACACAAAACATGAAACTGAAAGGTTAAGGAGCAGATATTCTTGTACCTGCAATATACTACTGAATTTAGATAGTCTGAATTAACTTGAATGAACTGAATGAACCACTGACTCGTACTGCAGGACAGAAAAACATTTAATTTTATATTATTTATTCATTTAGCCATAAGTTAAATCTTCAGTTGTTCCAGTGCTTCATCAGTCCGGCGAGTTTAAAGTGTCTCATGATGGACCAAATGTCGTTTTAGAGGCCTTTTTTTAACTAAACTGAACTAAATAAATGATTCTTTTTTTACATGATTGTCTACTTAAGAAACTTAATTTGGCTCTGCAAACACATTAGCTGGGTCCATCCTCTAAAATGTGAGGTTTTTGTGCTTGTCTATGTTGTACTGTATAGTGAAGTCATTATGTTAGGGGTTTGAACTGTTAGTCAAATAAAACAAGCAATTTGAAGACGGGCATTTGTTGTCTAACATTTTATAGACAAAATAAATGCCAATTGTTATATAATAAGATGAAGCTAATTGTTTGTTGCAGCCCAAGCTGACAAGTTATTCACACATTCATTGTTCAAACAGTATGTGACAACGTTTGAACGCTTCATCAAAAGTGTGTCCTGTTTGCGGTGAACTAAATGTGCATTTATACGCTAACTGCAAAAACAACTTGCACTGCTGCAGCCTAAGTCTTATATTATTAGTTCTAGCGCTGATTCTCACCCTGGCTTGATAAGAGAGAACGTTTTGTTGTTTTAACGTGTGTAAAGACAGAAATAAATCCAGATCGCTGAGGCTGTTTGGCTGCAGGTCAGCGGCGTCGGGCCAGATGAAGGCCGGCGGTAAACCCGGCGGCTTCTCGTCTGTAACTCAAACCAGACCCATCGCTGTACAGAGCGAAGCTGTGTGGAGCGCCTCAAACCAGCCCTGGAGATGCCTCTCGTTTTGGGTCACTAAATATAATAATAATAATAATAATCTTTATTTATAGTGTTTTTTAAACCAGGGCCCTAAAATAGTTCAAAGACACACTTGTATTACCCAGAATAGGTTGAAGGAGCTCTGAGGTGATTTCCACATTCGTACGGTTAAACACAGTCTGATATCTGATCAACACTAGAGAGAGAGAGGGCTTTTTTTGAGTCAGTCCGTTATGCATTTTTTACATTTTTACTTGCATGCGGCATGATTTCCAAACCTCTCAGGCCCATTCACTCCCATTTATTTCCAAATCAGCACAGGGAACAACAAGAGACGTGCTGAACGTCAGCAGACAACGGATATCAGAATAGAAATAAGCTCTGATTCTTATCAGTGTCACACAGCTCAGACACGTCTGTCGTCTTAACTTCTGCTTTCCACTTTAAAAGATATTCAAGTTTCAACATCACTGTGTGACTGATTTCTGTTCCCACCGTTTACAATAGAAGTTTTTGAACCAATATCTAACACAATGTGGTTTTCGTCTCGTTAGTCACAGCCCAGACGAGGTAAAAGTCCAAAGCAAGCCTCTTCCACCAGCTTTCGTCTGCTAAATGACAGTCAGTGTGAAAGTTTTCTTCATCTTAGTTCTCTTTCAGAGTAAATATCCTGAAACAAACATTACAAATATAACAGAAAGCGCTAACTGATAGTCTAACAAAACGATCCCAACCCACTTAGTAGCTTCTTCCTGGACATTTCAGCTGTATCGCACCGTCTTCATCAGTAGGTAGATGTTAACTTTCATAACTAATAATCATAATCATAGCTGAGCTTGAACTGTCTCCATGATTGCTGATGAAAACAGCTGAGAGCTCCACAAAAAGCTTGTAAGTAGACCTTGATTTGATACTGTTGTCAAGCTGCTGTTTCAACAGTCAAGAATAAACGTTTATGCTTACATTTCTTATATTTAGACAGCGTTTGTTACAGAGAATTCAAACTGAAAGGCATCTAAGAGGAAGAAAAACATCACACTGACTGCCTTGCTCAAGGGCAAAGGAGGTCATTTAATCAGACACATTTATACCAACAATGAAGCTGAAAAGATTAGCTAACTAGTTAAACTGAAAAGAAAATAAATGGGATCCAATTTGGAAAGATGTCAATCAAGTTTGATTAACATCGAGTCCTCTCAGATGTGAAGATTATCTACTTAACTTTGTCTCACGTGGTCGTAAATTCAATATTAACTGTTGCTAAGACCAAAAAAAAGCTATTTAAAGATGTCACCTTTGGCTCTGGGAGCTTGTGACGGACATATTTTAGTATATTCTGACATTTTTCAATATAAAAAATCAATTAAATGAAATAAAAGGCCTCTGCAGAGTCCTAACAAACAATATATAAACTTTTGAATTTAAGCAGATCAAGTTTCAGCGTCCTGCCCAGGAACACTTTAGCAGAGCATCTGGTTGTTGTGGGATTTGAACCTGTGGCCTCCCAGTTACAAGTGGGTCTCACGCAGAGCAGCTGTATCTCTGCTGGTTAGCAAGTTAAATCAAGTTCAGATGTTCCTGCTAATGATTCTGCTGGGGATTTCAGGTCAGGTGAGGCCAAACGTGTGTGTGTTTGTGCACCTGCATAACTGCAATCTTTCTAGGCTATCACCTTTAACCTCTTGATGCCTTTGAGGTCAAAATGTGCAGCCTGAAGTTGCAGAAACACGACCAGCAGCAACAAGAAATAAACCAACAAGGAACTTCAACTTCAATGTGAAAAAATTGGCTCTAAGACAGAGAAGCTCTCTCTCTCAACAGCAGCAAGAAATAAACTAATCTTTGTGCTACAAAGTTATAGGAGCTTCTCTTCTAGCTAACATCTTGCAAGCAAATGTCTCTGCTCTGATCGCGGCCATTCATCGTTCTTGCGCAGTTTTGCGTGCATGCCGTGCAGCCGACAACTGCATGCACGTTGCGGCTCCTTGTGGGTCTGTTTCAAGTAGCCGGCTGTTTAAAAACGATAAAATATTCTTTGTGTGGTTCATCAACAGTGATAAATTATCCGAAAGTCCTACGATGCGGACAACTCGGCACAACACCAGTCAAGATGGGGCTCCTCTCAACAGTAAGTGTTCCTTTTCTGCCACAACACGAATACACGCTACGCCTACATGTGCGCGCTGACGCCCCAGGGTTAGGGTTACAATTTTGGATTTATTCACCCACTTTAAAAACATTTATTGAAAGCTTTTTCTTTTTCCATGTTTATTTAAAGCACTGTATGTTGATATTTATATCATAATAGGCAGTATATTAACTTATTGGGAGAAAACTAGTAGTTCTATGTAAAATCAGATGTTGACCACCCCTATATCAGCAAAATGGCGTGCTCCTTGTTTTGCTGAAAAGCTTCGACTGTGAGATTGACAATCAAATCGGGCTCCGCCCCTAACCATCGAATCTTCAACAAATCAACTATTCGGGTCCAGCCCTAATTAATAGCCTGGTCAATAGCGATCCTTATTAGCTAGGCTTAGGGCTGGACGATACGGGCAAAAATTTTATCACGATAAAGATTTTCATATATTTCGATATCGATAATTATCACGTTAAGTATCAAATCGTTATTTTTTTTAGTTTAAAGGCTGATTTTTGCTCCTGAGTGGAAGTTGAGTAAATTTGATGGTTAAATGTGGTTTAAA